CCATATTTGTTCAACTTTACAGCACTAGGTCCACATTTTATTTTCACAGCACACACAGCACATAACCCACAATTCATTCAAGACACATGGCCCCTAGCCTATTTTCATTCATATTACATGGCCCTAGGGCCCACATACAATATTCATTCAAATATACACACATGTATAAGCGGTACAAGTGCCCACATCACATATCTCAGCAATTTCCTACCCTCTACTTAGCCACATCACAATATCACACAAAATATCAGCAAATCACACATAAAGGAGTAAGGTAGAGTCCCCCCTTACCTTGGATTGAAGACTCACGCCCGAACTCAACCACGGAAATGCTCCCCACACGACTTTCAGCCTAAACACATGGAAGACTTCCATGAGAACCCCGAAAATTACCAAGAACAGAGAAAGGGAAGGAAAAACAAAAATCCTAACTGTTTAAAACTCACCTCCAAGCATTTTCCACACAAATCTGAGTTCCAATCTTGCTCTCAAACGGCTTTGGAGGCAATTAATTGGTAGAATAGGGTTTGGGAGTGAGAGAATCGAAGGGATTTCGAAGGGAGAAGGAGAAATTACTCTCCCCGAACCATAACTCCCTTTAAATCTTTTTCTGGTCGCAACACTCTCGCTACAGCAAAGTATTCTCACTACATCGACACGCCCTCTCGCTACAGCTAAAAAATAAGAGAAAACTGCACTATGGTTTCTGCAGAATCTCGCTGTAGCGAGACCCTCTCGCTACAGCGAGACTGCACCCAGAAATGCACCTCAAACTTTCGCTTTGTCGTTATAGTGAGACGTCTCTCGCTACAGCGAGAAGGCGATAGTTCTGGTCCTTCCTCCCAGGGCCTTCTCGCTACAGCGAGAGCAGTCCAGTATCTCGCCCTGTACTTAGGCACTTAGCCCATTTCAACCCAACCAATCATACATACACATATTAATGTAATTAATACACATAAAACATCATTTTCAAATAAATCAACACACATATGAATATATATATATATATATATATATATATATATATATATAAGAATAATAATAATAATAATTAATATTACCAAAATTTAGGGCGTTACAAATGTATGGTTTGCCTCACTACCGACTAATTTCATTACAACATGGGAGGGTCTCACTTAGCAATTTTTGAGAAAGTATTTTCCCCATTAAGATCTTCTAAGCTTGTGAATAAAATATCCAACTACTAGCAATATGAGTCAAAATTGTTATTCAAAGCATGGAAGCGATTTAGAGAACTTTTAAGGAGGTGCTATCGCCATAGTTTTTCAGTGTGGAGACAAATGCAAATCTTATATAATGGTCTATTACTCTCCAATAGGGCCATAATTGATGAAGCAACATGAGGAATTCTCATGTAAAAAGTATGCTAGCTTTTACTGACATAAAAAAGAAAGAGATCAATCCAATCTACCAAGCACAAAGTAGCAATCCACTAACAAACCAAATGATGGCTCTTAGAAAGTAGTTGGAACCCCTAATGAGAGTACAAGATCAACCTACGAGATCTCTTGCAGTTCTAGAATTCGAGTAAGATGAAGAAAATCTTTTTGGACAATGACTATAACTTGGGATAACAAAATAACAACACAACCTCTTGAAAAAATTGCCAAGGAAGTCAAAATACAAACCTCTATTGCACTCCCCATATGTAGACTAAGGAGAGAAATCTAAAAGGAAAGAGGCTCCCAAATTTCAGTCTAACTTTCAAGAGCAAATACTACAATATGTGCATAGTTCCAATAAAGGGATGTCCAAACTTGAAGTCCAGTTGGAACAAAAAATTGAAAAGGAGGATAAAAGGTTTGCAAAAATCAAATATGAAATGAGATCTCAGTCTTCAAAGATTAAATCACAATTCGAACATATTACTAATCTTCTAAATCAAAGAGCATTGGAAACATTGTCAACTTGGCCTAAACCAAATCCTAAAGAGTAAGCCAAAGTCATCACCCTTAGGAGTGGGAAGAACCTTGAAGAAATGCAAAACAAAAAGGTGAGCACACTTGTGCTTATTGATAAACACGCCCTTGCATCTGGAGAAGCATGACTGTACTTAGATGTGCATGCCCAAGATAATGTAATAAGCACAATCATGCATACAGACAAGAAAGGTCGTACTTCATACGCAAAATCAGAAAATGGAGAGGAACATAAACCAACTATGTTGACAAGGCCTGTTACACCAAGGAATCCTTTTCCGTAGAGATTGAAGGGCACCTAGAAAAATCCACAGTTTGGCAAATTCATAGATATCCTCAGGAAACTCTACATAAGGAGTAATAAATTTAGTATGAGGAATTGACAGTCATAAGGAAATCATAATTATAGTTAAACTAAAAGTAAACATAGGAAAGTGCAAAAGTGAAATGTACGCTTGAGGTTTTTCTCGATTAGTTTATTATTAGAGGTTAGGCTATTTTAATTCTTTTTAATTACTCTCATATTTGAATATTAATTTTATTTTATTATGCATCTTTTAAGTTCAAATAATTAAATTAAGATATTCTTGGTACTTGAAAATAATCATTGTAGGATGATATTTCGAAAACTTATTTTAGAACTTTTTTATTACTTTTGACGGGTACATTTGTCCACAGTGTGTAACTCTACCACTTACTGTTATACCTAATAAATCCCTGAAAATTAGGAATAAATAAAAAAAAATCTAAGACTAGGTTAGATGGTAACATATAATTTATTTAAGGTTAATCTTGTGTTAACTAGTTAGAATGCTCAAGCTAATTCAGTTTTCCAACTCCCTGTTTCTAATTTCATGGATGAAAAAAATTGAAAAACTCCTCTTGCTACATAATTAAGATAGAGCTACCCTTAAAGGAGAGAGTTATCAATGAAGTCAAACTATCTTAGGCTTTAATTCTCTTATATGGGATCCTTATAGTATTATATTAATATTTATTTTTATAATTTTTTTAAAAAACTATTATGATTTAAGTTTTGTATATAACCTTATTATAGTACTTGTGATTGAAATTATATTTTTATTTAAATGTTAAAAATTTGTGATGTTTGATAATAATCAAACTTTTAAATGAGCAGTTAAAATAATTTTTTTATATATATGTTATATTAAGTTCTATAATTATAAATTACTCATGTGTTATTTATTTATCTTTTTATTTTATTGTAGTTATTATGTCTTTATTGAATTTATGTAACTCACTCCCTATTTATTATTATTTACAAATTATCAGATAGTATAGTTATATACTACTAAGAACATTGATCCATCTCAGTAAGATCTCAATTGAAAGACTTTGATTGTCATTACAGTGACTTTATTTCTTTTAATTTTGTTGTTTTAAACTTTTGCAGTTGTTAAGAAGTTAAATTTTTATTTTAGTTATGTGATTAATGTTTTAGTTTTGATTTATAAATTTTTAAAATTCAATTGATTGTGATTGACCTATAAATTAATTTTGAAAATTTATTATATTTTAGAATGAAAAAATTACAATAAAAAAATATAAAAAATATAATAAATTTTTCATATTGTTCATTTAAAAAATTTTATTTTTTTATGTGCTAGTTTCTAAACAAGCTTAATTAGGTTAAGTGATGTTTTTAAACCAAATTTCTAAGTTATAAACTTGAAGTATCAAATAAGTAAGAGGGACTAAAAACAAAATTTATAACAAAAAAATAAGGACTAAAGCAAAAAAAATGATGAGACTAAAATAAAAAATTTGTTAAAAATGTGATTACTAAAACTATATTAAAAACATAAAAATAATACTAAGTGTTAATAACATATAGAAATGTACATAACTTATAAAAAATTAAAAATAATGTTTGATTATAAAATTTAAATTGAAAATTAATAGTATATAACAACTTTTTTTGTTATAGTAAAATATAATTTCACCGGTATAAGAATTTCACTATTTATAATATTATGTATAATAGTTTTTTTTTAAAAAAAATACAGCGTCACAACCATCAAAAGAAAAATTAAGTATTGTGTTTACATTTAATTATTTTGAGGATGAGGATTGTTATTTATATATTCTTTAACATTTTTAAAATATATTTTAATTATTATTTAAAATTTATTAGAAACTACAAAAGTATTAAAAAAACATTAAATTAGAAATATAAAAGAGTGAAACCTATATAATTTTAAATAAATTTTAGTCAATAACTAAGAATATATTAAAAATTTGTATTAAAAAATGTATTATTAACTTTCTTTTCTTGAGAATAACAAATTGATAAACCTGATTAGAGTTCAAATTTTAATAAAAGTTTGAGAATGCAAATAGAAATTTATGTTTGTTATTTTTAATTTATATTATTTCACTGACACGTATTTTTAAAATATTGAATTGTTCTATACCAATTTTAGAAAGACCAATATAAAAGATATAATTTTTTTTACGTCAGTTCTAATAACAATTAACTTAGAAATACTATCTTTTATGCGATTCTAAAAATAACTAATATAAAAGATTATTCAATTTTTTATTATTATCGTCATAAACTTTAAAATTAAATAACTTTTAACATAAAATTTTAATTTATGTAAATTATATATTTATTTCATATAATTTTTTAAAATTTATCCCATCCACGTGGGATTTAGACAACTGATGTTAAAAAGTTTTTATTATTTTAAAAATATCACATTACATTTTATTAAATCAATTACTTATTCTTATTATAAAAATCTATTACAAAAATCAAATTTTTGTACTAGTACATGTTTAATAGCAAGTTTTTAAATTAATTAGAAAAATAAAAATTATTCTTAGTAAATAACACTTTAATAATAACATACATGGTTATTTATTTTTCCGTTTAAGGACTCCCCAACTCATTTATCTCATCATTCCTAACATTTCGCGCAACCTTGTATATCATCCAATACACTATTCATATATAAACACAATTTCTCTCATCTATCCTCACTTTGTGTGTTGTATGGATATGTTTTTGATCCCACACACATAAGGACTCTTCTAATGGATTCCATTAATGGGAACCAATTTAGGAGAATAGAAACAAACCCTAAGATTTTCTTGCAAGAGAATATCATTTTGCTTCTTTCTCGTTGGTATGCCCTTCAAATGGCCGTCCAAAATCAGTGGGGTGGTTGTGACTCCCTCCAGAAATCCCATCAACTTTCAGCTGATTTATTCTCGTGGTTCTCCAGATCCAATGGTTTTTAGATTAATGTTTTATTTACATTTTTTTTCCTTTCTATTTCATTATTGATTTTTTTACTTGCCCACATTTTATGTCCTAAATTTCCATTTTTACTTACCCTTCACCTATTATTCTCTTTTTATGTGTTTTTGCTTTGTTATCTGAATTTCAGCACCAATTCCTATTGAAGATTTAGAAAATCTACTTCATGAATTCATGTTGCTTATATTCAATACAGAGATAGAAGATGGCAGCATTGAACAGGTATTACGTATATATTATTTGGCTCTTACATTGTATTATACGTTAGTGTTAATTTTTAACTTTACCAAATGTTGCACTTACATGTTTATCAATATTTTTTATCTATTTAATTTTGTGGTAAATAATAAATATTACATATGTTTCCATTTGTTTTAAGAAGTGGATGATAGAATTGCATATACGAATGCATTATTTCTCGTTATAAGGCATTAACATGAGCAAGAATCACACAACATGCCATTTATACATACGGAATTTGCTTAGAGTATGCAATATGTGTTTAAACATATCTTATTGAGAATGTTAAATGAAATACTGAAAAAATAATTTCTTTTACATATTTTCTTTTATGGGAAATAAACCTCCGTTCTTCAAAGTTTAGTACTTCTTGACTACATCTCATGTGCTAATTTTATGCAGCAATTTTGTGCGTTTTCTCTACTGTTACAAAAGCATAATTGAGATTATGCTAATGTTTCCCAGCAATGTATAATTAGGTAGCAGAACAGTTGATGGTTATCCATGAAGAATACTTGTCTCGCCAATCATCTTAATCTTTGAAAGAAGCACACTCTCAAATAGAATGTTGCTTTTAATAGCAAATGCATAGTTTTGGTAAACCTCATTGATTTTTATATTATTTTTTTTTAAATTTTTATTTGTCACATTCTTTTTTTTAATTTTCTATTTTTCTCTAAATTTAATTTATTATTATTTTTTTTAGTTAAATGAAAATTCACTATTCACTTGATTGGGTTACTTTCACGGTGAAAATGATAAGTACACTGGATACTTGATTTACTTTCACAGTATACATGATCTTTATTGGGCCACTTTTACGGTAAAAATGACATATACAGAGTTGAGTGCCAATTGTAGAATAGAAGATGTTAAATATGCAAGTCTTCTTGCATATTTTGTTGATGACTGTGGACTATTTTATTTAATATTAAGTATAATTAATTTAAATTAATATTAACTTGTTAAGTATCATTAAAATAATGTTGATATTAATTTTAATTATAAATTTTAAGTTAAATATGCATCCCAATGGAAGGATTGATTCTAAGAATTTACCAAATGAAAACTTCATGGTAGTGGAAGGAAGGCTCAAACTTGAGTTGTGTTCTTGCTTACTTTGGGTTGTATAGATTAGTGTGCTTAACAATAGTGATAATATTTTACTTTATATTTAAATTAATTAAAAATTAATACTAAATTATTTTAAAAGATAATAATAAATTGTTAAAATTATGAATATATCAAAGTTGAGATTTAATCACATCATTTTTTAAAAAAAATTAATAATGTATGGACCAAAGAATCTATTATAACGATAATAATTTAGGAATTAATTAAGATAATTAAAAATTATTTAAAATGATAATTTATAAATTAGAAATAATGGAATTGTATTTATGTTTTAAGAAATTATTTTTTATTTATTTAAATAGTTGTGTTTCATATGTAGTTTTAAAAGATAAACCAATGATTAAACTTTGATTAGATTGATCCAAATAACTTACAAAAATAGTAAAATAAAAAAGTCAAGAGTTGGCTAAAATTGATTTTAAAAAAATTATGATTGAAGCACTTCTATTTTTAACTGGTTTGAGCCAGTTTTTTTTTTTTTCAATTTTTTTAAATATATTTCTAAAATAAATAAAAGGTTATATATGAAAGTGGAGGAAAACTTCTTAATGATGATGGAATCAGGATGAAATAGCATAAACGGCAGTTCAAATTAATTTTCCCATTATGTCTACACGCTTATCAACAATTTTAACAGCTGTTCTCTTAAACCTCCTCCTCTACCATCTCATTTTCACCCATTTTATTAAAATTAGTAGATTATATATATTTGAATAATAAAAATATTTTTAAAATGCTCTATAATTTTAATTAAATTATTTTGTTATTAAATAAAAATAATTTTAAATCATATATCTTTTTTTACAAAAATTTTAAAATTTTCTATTATGCTTAATTTTTTAATTATTATTCATAATTTCTTTTAAAGTATTCTTTTACTTAAATCATCTTTAATTATTAATTTATATTCTTTAAAAAATTTAATTTTTTTATTCAAATACAACTTAAATTTTTTTTCCAACATTGCTATCATAATTCAGCAAATCTTCTTTCCTCATTATTTTTTTTATGTATTAAATTATGTTATTTTATTTTTAGTATCCTTGAAAATAATTGTTCTCATTTTTTTTAAAATAAACGTCCAAAGATATTTTTTTTTTATAATCACTACAGTTAATATTATAATTTTAAAAAAATAAAAATAAATATTAAATAATATTCATTTTTAGTTAAAAATTAAAAGTAAAATAATAATTAGCATAATGTAATCTTTAATAATATCTTTAAACAAATTCTTTAACGATTATAGAAAAAAATCTTAAGTGATTATCTATTAGAAATAAAATAAATAATCAATGAAAATATTTTATTTTTCAAAAATTAACTAAAATATGAATAATCCTTAAGAAACCTTCATTATTGACAAAAAAAAATTGAAAACATATAAAAAAAAAATTTAATATTAAAATTTTTGTAAAAAATTATAAGTTTCAATGTAATAAATTAGTATTATTAAATGATATATTTTTTTATAAAATTATATATATATATATATAATTTATTATCATGTGCAATATTGCACATGTTAAAAAACTTAATTAAAAATTATATTTTTAAATTTAAATTACAATAAGTATATTTAACATAATTTTATGGTTTTTAAAATTTAATTTAATATAAGAATAATGTTTTGTTATATACAAAAGTATGAAAAATATATATTTATAATCTTTGATAAAAAGATACTTCAAAGTACATATTTTAAGTTAAGCGACTACACATAATTTTTGTCCTATTACCGTGTTCGGATGATTCGGCTTCCAACCGGGTCATTTTTTGTCCTATTACAGTATTCGGATGATTCGGCTTCCAATCGGGTCAAGTCGGCTCCCTCTATATATATACATATGCGCGTCAGTGATGTGTGCATATTTGCTGAGTTGTGAGTATTACTCTCTTCTGTGAGACATTGATATACCATGCCTCTCCCAAACACTCCTACCAGGTAATGCTCTTCATTCTTCAATTTCGATCCTAGGGTAATGTTTTTGATATTTCGAATGAGAAAAATTTTATCCACTCTCTCCTCGGTTTTTGAATAAGCTTTAAACTCGGATTATAAAACCCATTCCATACCCCCTTTAACTATTTTGCATCTTCTCATCAATTTTATTTTTTAGTCAATCTCTCTTCTACTCATCGGATTAACTTATTTTAAAGAATCATTTTTAAAAAAAACTTTGAGAAATTTTTGTTTTTCATTTTAAAAAATAATCATTTTTCAAACTTTGGTATTAGCCTTTGCATGTCGGCTTTTCTCTTTAGATCTCACTCCATTATGCTGCTTAACATAAGCAATATGTGTTAATCAAGAAATTACCGAAAACATTTTTCAAACATTGGTATATAGCCTTTGCATGTGGGCTCTACTCTTTAAATCTCACTGGATTATGTTGCTTAACTTGAGCAATACAATGTTTTAATCAAGAAATTACTCAAAACATTTTCCAAACTTTGGTATATAGCCTTTGCATGTGGCTCTACTCAAATCTCACTGCATTATGTTGCTTAACTTGAGCAATATAATGTGTTAATCAAGAAATTACTCAAAACATTTCCCAAACTTTGGTATATAGCCTTTGCATGTGGCTCTACTCTTTAAATCTCACTGGATTATGTTGCTTAACTTAAGCAATATAATGTGTTAATCAAGAAATTACTGAAAACATTTTCCAAACTTTGGTATATAGCCTTTGCATGTCGGCTCTACTCTTTAAATCTCACTGGATTATGTTGCTTAACTTAAGCAATATAATGTGTTAATCAAGAAATTACTGAAAACATTTTCCAAACTTTGGTATATAGCCTTTGCATGTCGGCTCTACTCTTTAAATCTCACTGCATTATGCTGCTTAACTTAAGCAATATAATGTGTTAATAAAGAAATTGCTGAAAATATTTTCCAAACTTTGGTATATAGCCTTTGCATGTTGGCTCTACTCTTTAAATTGGTAATCAAGAAATTACTGAAAACATATTTCAAACTTCGTTATATAGACTTTGCATGTCGGATCTACTCTTTAGATCTCACTGCATTATGCTGCTCAACGTAAGCATATAATGAGTTAATAAAAAAATTACTGAAAACATTTTTCAAACTTTGTTATGTAGACTTTGCATGTCGGATCTACTCTTCAGACCTCACTGCATTATGCTGCTTAACATAAGCATATAATGTGTTAATCAAGATATTACTGAAAACATTTTTCAAACTTTGTTATGTAGACTTTGCATGTCGGATCTACTCTTTAGATCTCACTGCATTATGCTGCATAACTTAAGCATATAATGTGTTAATCAAGAAATTACTGAAAACATTTTTCAAACTTTGTTATATAGACTTTGCATGTCAGCTCTACTCTTTAGATCTCACTGCATTATGCTGCTCAACTTAAGCATATAATGTGTTAATCAAGAAATTACTGAACATTTTTCAAACTTTGTTATATAGACTTTGCATGTCGGCTTTACTCTTTAGATCTCGCCGCATTCCGCCGATCAACTTAAGCATATAATGTGTTAATAAAGAAATTACTGATAACATTTTTCAAACTTTGTTACATAGACTTTGCATGTTGGCTCTACTCTTTAAATCTCACTGCATTGTGCTGCCTAACTTAACCAATGTAATGTGTTAATCAAGAAATTACTGAAAACTCATGATATTTCTTCCATGGATCATCTTTCACATTGTGATCTTTCAACATTTTATTTTGCCTTATTAAAGTGTGAAAAACAATTCTTTTACATTTTGCTTCTGTTGTTTAACGCATTAATAACAAAAACTTTTAACCTAGGTGGAGTTATTACATGGTTGTGATATTCAAGATATTTAGCCCAATTTCTAAGTAAGATATGAATGAAATTGGCAAAATTTTACCTGTGTACAGAGTATTTTGTGATCATCTTCATATCAGTTGGCTGACATTTGCACAATGCCAGTGACTTCAGTAGTAGGATTAAAAATTTTTTTAGAGAATTCCATTGATATTCTCAAATTAATTCTATATTTTACCTGTGTCCTAAAACACAGGAAGGTGCAAGCAATTATGCACTTGTATGGACTTTTCAGCAGTTGACAGTCTTCTGTTGTTGCAGGGGTCAGCGTGCAAAGGAATCCCCAGAGAATGATGCTCCAATTGAAACCAGTGCTGGTAAGAATGTGGCCATGACGGAGAAAACCTCTATTCTTCCACCAGTATCACCTTTTTCTACTGGTGAAGGTTTGCCATATGCACCTGAAGGGTGGCCTAATCCTGATGATGTATGGACCTGGAAAGTGGGCAGAAGGACGACCAAGTCTGGCCATTTTCATGATAGATACCTGTATCTTCCTAAATCTCTTTTGACACCTGCTCGCAAGGCAGCATGCTTCCAAAGCAAGCTAGAAGTGATGCGGTATCTTGAATCAAATTTTCCCAACATGGAATTGGAAGCATTCTTTGCATTATTTAGCTGGCAGATTCCGTCAACTGAGCTGTCCCCCACAAAAGGTTAGCCCAAAACAGTCTCTCAAATTTCTTTTCAATCCAGTGGTGCTGTTTTCTCATTCATTTTATCTATCTTTTTTAATTGTTGCATTTTGGTATGATCTGTGTTGATGCCTTTTTTCCATCCTTGTTGTGAACTCCTAAATGGTTTGAGACCTTTATTATTTGTTGTGGTCTCTCTTCCTTTATACTTATCCTTGTATGAAGGTCAATGGGATGCAAGTGATCAAATACATAGATTTGTATATTTTCTCTATTTTTTGTTGTAGTGGGTTTGGAAAATGAAGGTGAATATTTTATTCCTAGAAAGGGAAAATCTAGAATAATCTTGGTCTGAAGTTTGTGAAATACGTTGGGATCATCTTATCTGCTAAGGAGGAAGTTGACTTCTAGGTTATATCCTTGTAGCTTTTGTGGTCCCTTCTTCATTTATATGTTTCTTATTATCTGATGCATATGAACCTTCTAGCTGTACCACCATCATCCATTACCCGTCCAGTGAAGTCACTGGAAACCAGAGAAGATACCAAAGAAGAGATTGGAACCCAGAGAAAGCTAAAACGGAAGGCACAATACTGTATTCAACCAACTCGGAAATCTTTCAGATTAGGTAATGTTTGTCCTCGTTTACCACATGTTGTTCAAGATGCAATTGAAATCATTGACTTGTGCTATCTGGATGAAGAGTCAGAAATTGAGTCAGCTGAGGATTTGAAAAACAACTCAGATTCTGAGTTGTATCAAACTTCACACAATAGTAATGGTCAACCTGAAAATAGTTTTGTTGCTGTCTGTAATGTGGGTGATTCTAAAGAAGGATCTGGTATGCAGACAGCATCAGAGAAACATCCCAATGTAACTAGTTTAGAAAATTTTGACGACTATCTTGATACCTTGGAGGACTTGCTTGTTGTGCCTCCTACTGAGACTTCACAGTCTGATCCCGTGATTCATGCTACCACTCTTGACAATGAAATGATGGAATGCTGCAAGGAAAAGCTTTCTTCCTTTCTAGCTATGGACTTCCCTTCTTTGGCCTCTTGTAATAATGTTGTAGAAGTTGCCACGCTTGCATCACAAATTCGTAAAGATCCTAGCCTTAGTGTTGATCAACTGGCGAAGTTAAAGTTGGTGGAACAAATTCCGTTAGTCAGTGAGGCTTTCCTGGAAGCCAAAGGGAACATTGAAGAGGCAGACAAATTCTTTGCTGACCTTGAGGCAAAGACACTTGAAGTTCCTATTCTCAAAAACAAGTACAACGATTTGAAGGACCAAGTAGCCCATACAGAGGCAGAGATAGACAAAATCTCTATAGCCATCCAAGAAATTGATGATCAAATTTCGCAACTTCATTCAAAACGGAACGAGATATCTAGTGCCTTTGAAACCAAGCAGAAGAGAAAAGCTGAGCTGACTTCTAGGCAAACAATGGTTGCCTCCTCAATTCCAACCATTGTTCATGAGATTCAGCTTGGATTATCCGAAAAATCAAAATGGGAGCTGAAGAAAGCCAACTCTGCCCAGCGTGTAGCAGAGATACATGAGAAGTTCATCACTTTAAGAGACACAACATTTTAATCAAACACTTCTAGAGGTTCTCGTTTTGATAAAAAGCACTTCTGGATAGTTAAGGCAGTGCTAGATATATCTAATTATCTACTAATGAGTCTGCATCTATGTTAGTCATGCAATATAATGACTTTAGACTTGGTAACAATGCATGTAGTTCTGTTAAAATTTCAAACTTTACCTGTTTTGCAGTCCTCAAATTACAACCTTTTCTTCCTTTTTATTAAAAGGAAAAAAGAAAAACTCTTGGAACTCTTTCATTGGGAGTCCATAATCTCTCGGATCAAGGACTGTTTTCTGGTGCTTGCATGAGTTTTCTGGCACGTTTCCAGAGGCGGTATTACGCGAACCAAAGTCTCTGTTGTGCAACCATAATTATAAAGACTCTTTAATTAGTTTTAGCATAGAAATGCGTAACTGCGCAGCATATAGCGACTGCGACCAATAGAAACGAAACCGCGATTATGACATTTCTTGCTACCCTTTCTGCTTTAACAACGCTACAATTCCAATCGATCCAACCACAGACCCTAGTGAGTAGCGTTTGGAATGGAGAAAGGTGATAGCAAGAGTAACAGTTTGTTGAATCTGCCGCCGATGGCAGCAGAAGTGTCCGGCGAAGGATTGCCATTTGCGCCAGAAAATTGGCCGGAAGACGGCGACGTTTGGGGATGGAGAACCGGGCGTAGAGTTACGTCGAACGGGTACTTTCAGGATCGGTACCTTTATCTGCCGAAGCGACTGAGCCTCGCGGGGAAGCAGAACCCTAACCCAGGGACAGGGTCCAGCCGCAAGACACACATCTTTGCAAGCAAGCTTGCTGCTGAACGCTACGTGAAGGCAACTTTTCCTGACGCCGATGTTAAAGCTTTTTTCTCTTCCTTTAGCTGGAGGATTCCCGCTTTACTCTCCCCTTCACCTAACGGTCTCCTTCTCTTCTCGGCTTTTTATTTTTTATGTATTTGATTTAAATGCACATGCATCTAATTCGAATTTATATTACGTGATGACGAGAGCACACAGATAGTAGATTGTTTGATCAAGAGGAGAAATCGATTATAACACGCTTAAGCACAAAGATAAAGCTCTTGACATGATAATGAATTGGTATATGAGTTTTATGAAGGTGATAAATAGCCTTCAAATGGACATGCATGCGCTTGGCATTGTGTGATAAGCTGATTTGTGAGACTTAAAACAAGATTATAAGCAATATTAGTTCGTTATGAAAGCTTTTCTTTTTATTTTTCACTTACTCCCGGCGGTCAGCATCATGTTATTTCAAGATGGTAAATAACTGTCTGTTGTTTGGCATCACAGGCAATGCACCGCCCATAGCTGCTGTGCCTCTTCAACAGGTAGCACAAGCAGAAGAGCCAGACTCTGATTGTGAGACTGATGTTGTTAGGTGTAAAGCAAAGAATAAGAACTGCGATAGCCTGGTGTTGGAAAAAGTAGAAAAATATTCGCCGGCCATGCCTTGTGATATCTGCTGTACTGAAGCTGGTTTTTGCCGTGATTGTAGCTGCATTCTTTGTTGCAGAACTGTTAGTTCTGCTAATGGTGGCTATAGTTATATCAAGTGCCAAGTAAAGGTTGGTGGGGGAATATGTGGCCACGTTGCTCATATGGAATGCGCACTTCGGGCTCTCATGGCTGGCAAGGTTGGAGGATTTGTGGGATTAGACGCTGAGTACTATTGCCGACGCTGTGATGGGAGGACTGATATGATTTCCCATGTTAATAATCTTCTGCAAACATGTATAGCTACTGATTGTGATGATGAGATTCGGAAGAAGATTTTGAATTTTGGCATTTGTCTCTTGCGTGGTTCAGAGAAACCCATGGCAAAGGAGCTGCTGAGTCGTATTGAATTGGACATCTCGAAGGTAAATTCAAATGATTTTTAGGTGATGGAAATAAAAATTATCATGCTTTTCCTAGCTTATTTATGGTAAAGGCATAACCAATATGGTAGTTTACATCAGCTGAGATGTGGGACTAATCTTGAAGATATCTGGAAGGTGGATGGCAGTCATACTGCTCGTTCTGCTGGTAAATATCCTCTCCTATTATAAAAGCTTTCTAATTTTACTTCTTTCCACCACTAAGAACACCGAAGCAGTGGTTGCATGCTTATAGAGGTGCAGAACTGCAGATGTCTGTTTTTGGGCCCTCCCTTGTAAAAGACCTTAGAAACAGAGTGACCATCTATCATCTATGATTTCTGTTATCAATACTGATCTTGTACATTCAGTTACCTCAGTCAGTGCCTTTGTCTCATGATTGAATATTTTGTGTTTATAATCAGGCTCAAATCATGGCAATGCCTTTGTCTCATGATTGAATATTTTGTGTTTATAATCAGGCTCAAATCATGGCAACGATGTGAAGGTCGATGAAAACAGGATCTGGGTGGAATCTTATGATTATCTACCTCGTGCATTAAAACTTGACGTTGAGGTTGATCAGGTTCTCCAGGCTCTTAGGAAGTCACAGGAGTTTGAATATTCGGTGGCAGAAGAAACACTTCAAGTACACAAGAAATATTTACAGAATTTACATCAGCAACTCGACAGTGAGAAGTCTGAATTGGCTTGTCAAAACTCATCTGGTTCAAATAGCTTGTTTGGTGCTGTAAGAGCAAGAAAGGAACAAATAAAACGGGAGGAGAAGAAATTTGAAGATATGAAGAAGGTGGCCAACGGTTTTGGCAGGACATCGAAAGAGATTTTAAAGGAACACTTTGGCTTGGAAATGGCAGATTAAATTGATCAATCTTACGAGGTTGTGACGATTTGAATCTTTCCAAGCAGTTTTCCTAGTCTTTAGCTCTAACTTTATCCATTGAGATAACAACCTGGATTTTTACCTTAGGAAAATAAAGTGGCACTTGCATGAAGCGAGGTCTGTTACACAATACGTAGTAAGTTCAGTGGTGTTGAAGTGAACTACCGAGCACCATGCTGATCTTTGCTGCGGAGCAGTAAAACAACCTTGCGACATTGGCATCGTTCCCAGTAGTAGTAGTTAAATTTCCTGTTTGCTGTTGCATTGAGAATAAAATCTTCTAAAATACCCTCCTCGAGTTATTCTCAGTGAGGGGTAAGAAGTGTTGCAGTTCAATTTGTTAGTTTTGTTTTTCCAGGATTGTTGAAAATGGAACAGTTCAGAATTTGAATTGAATAATAGGAAATCTCAGTTGAGATTCTCCTCTTCCTTTAAATTAACTTCCAACAAATCTTCGCATTTTCTCTGTTTTAGAATCTTGCGTGGCTGCAAAGATAATATTTTTGTGATGGATAGAATGAGTAACGATTAGCCGCCTGATGCCTACCATGATCCTTTCTTCCAAAATCACTAAAATATATTAATGAGAAAATAAGGTCTCCTTTCGATGAAGATATTGAGTTCAGTCCAACATTAATTCAAAATCATAAAATTTTGTAAAAATAAATCTAAGAAATTAAAAATAATATCATTAAGTGTTAAATTCTGGATGGGGAACAAAAGACATTCTACAAGAAACAAGAAAGATTAAGTTATATCAACGATCAGTTTTCATTGAAACAGTTTCCCTGCAAATTTTAATTTAGTCCCATGTACAATTTGGTATTAGGGTTATTTTCGCCATCGCAAGTAGTTATTACATAATTATCATGTAGGGAACCAAAAGTATAATATTTCCATAACCTTTTAGTTTAACTCCTCAGCTTCGTTGTATTTATAACTTTGTAAGATGAAATCACATTACCAACATAAAACTAAACAGACAAAATTGAAATCGGTACAACGTAAATGAATAAAAAATACATTTCATCATCGAACAAGAAAATACTCTTGGCCAAGAGAAGCTTTTGTACGATGCTTAATGATTTCCTCATTCCTTCACAAAATGCCTCCAATGTAATGCAAAGAATACGCTCAAAGCTTTTTAAGAAAATGTCCTATCTATTTCTTGATATGATGTCTTGAATAACACTGCTATGAGTCTGGAAATTTTAGATCTACCTCACTTTTAAAAGTTAGTTCACAAAAATAAAATTTCTATTTCGGACTAAAAATAAAATAAAAATTGTTCTAAGTCTTATATTTTGACTATATGTTCTTGATCAATATGCAAAAAAAGATAGTTCAAACAAAGCTCAATAGTTTCACTTCCTAGAGATTCAGCCAAGGCCCAGCACTCAAAAAGGACAAAAATCTACATCGGCAAAGAAATCACAGCCTGAAATTCAAATTTGGGTCTAGTCAACCATCGATGAAAAATGCTAGATTCGGATTAGGACGACCTAAATCAATATTATTCCCCACCCTCCTCTAGTTTTTGCCGAAAATGCTTTCATCCCAATTCACATTATGGTTTTCTTGTTCACCTCTCAATCTCAAATATAAAAATCCACAAAAACTATATTACGAAATGCATAAGGTTAATTAAAATTACGTGATTGCATAAAGTTTCAAATTTTACCATCATATAAAATTAGCGATGAATTGCGACAATCTCTAGAACCTTAAAAACGCAACCAGCACAATCATAGTCACTAAAGTAGAGAATCATTGTCACTTAGACCGTTGCTATTTGTTATTCGTTAGTTAGCATGTGAAAAGAAAACAAGGTTATTTGATGGAAGTGCAACAAGCGCATCGAATCCAACAACCTTAAAACTAACAACATAACTTGGAAACTAAAAAGAAGGAACCACCTTAAATCACTGTACAAGCACAAGTGTGGCATGCCCCCACATATCCCCCTTCGGCACCGTCACCACCAGCTCCCCGGAGACGACGACGGCGGTGGCAAGCTCCGGCCGCGTCGATTCCGGCAACCGGTACCTCCAAACATCAAGGTCGAGGTCCTTGAAGGAGAATCCCAAGGAGCCGATTTCCCTTACCACAGTCTTAGTTATCCCAGGATGGATTTCGACGGTGTGGGCCTCCACATCGGCGACGGCGTTGGTCTCCGCCACGAATCGGATGCACTGGGGAGCTTCCTCGACGATGACGTCAGCATCGGCGCGGAAGGGAAGCTCAAGAACCCTGGTGAAGACATGGGGAAGCCTCTTTAGCTTCTTGGTGGTGAAACCCAACATGGCTTTGGCGTCGGAGAAAGGGTTTGTGTTGTATTTGACGGTGATGTTGCGTTTTCTTCCCATTGTCTCAGTCTCAACCTTCTTCATATTCCTTTCTCAACATTCACTCTTTTGCCGATGAAATCTTTCTCACGGCAACGGCAAAAGGGTGCGTTCATGAAACGTCTGAGTCACAGCGCACATAAACACTGCGCCCTTCCCACTTTGCCCCTCTGCTTCTTCCTTTCGTCTAAGCCACAGATACTTTTCTTTTAGTTTATCACTCTCAATTACTACTAATATTGTTTAATTAATATAACCTTAAAATGACAAGTGTTAACAATTGCTTTTACAACATTTATTATAATGAAAACATGGATGACATGTCAATCATACCCACCTTTACCTTTCCAAATGAAAACGGAAAGGAAGAGACTAGAGACTACAGAGTTGGCAAATTCTACCGTACCTCTTGATTTTTCTTTTAATTAATTATAATACTTAAAACAGAATAATTATAGTTATAGAAAAATTATAGTAATTTTGAATATTAAAATATTAAATTATAATATTAATTCATTGTGATTAAATATAATATACATATTAAAATTTTATTAATTGATTAAAAAAACAATTCAAAGCCCTTTAAAATGCAAATTTCTCGAAGCCAACACGTGGAGAATAGAAGAGCATGCCAAACAACTCCAAGTTTGGGGAAATGTTTATGGGGGTGTTTAATTAAATTATCAATATAACTAACTGAAAGTTAACAAATGAATTTCAGTCTGTTAACAAATACGAAACTAATTATTTTTTTTTTTTCTAAAATATTTAGAACAAACAAAAAGTATACAAACATTTCATATGTAAAGACAGAGAAGGAAGGTTCTGTGATCCTTCCCTGAAAACTAAAACAAAATAAAAGGCAGCAGAGAAAAGCAGTATTTCACAGTGAAAATTAGATATAAATAGATAAATGTGAAGAAGACAGTTAACAAATGAATTTCATTCTTCATTGGTATTTTTATGATCTTGCGTGTGGGTAGGTCACAAAATTATGTTTATTTAAATAAATTTTATTATTTTAAATATTTTTTTATATTAACTACACATGGTTTTATAGTTTAACAGAAAAGTATTTGTATAGTTTCACTTTTGACTAAAAGTTTAGTAATATTTGAAATTAAATTTGAAAATTCTTCCTTAAAGAGCGATTATTATTCTATTATAATTTTTATTGAGTTTAGAGATCTATCATGATTGTAAAACAAAACATAAAATAGTTGCTTCTTAATATAATGTTTTCGAATGAATTGGCTTTTTTATTTTTTTAATGCTTTTTTAAAAAATAATTTCTTAAAATAATATTTTTTTATAAAAATTTTAATTAAGTTTCATCTTCAACAAAGACGAAATTACACAATTGTACCACGTATTATAAGTTTAGTCTGCTACATAGACAAAATTCACAAAATTGTGTTATGTGTCATGTTGATTTAATTTTCAAAACGAGGGAGAATAACTGTATTTATAATTATGTTTTTTTATCCAAAAAAAAATGGTGTGTGCTATAGTACTCTAAAAAAATTTTATGAACTGTACCTAAAAAATTTATATCAATGTAAAAGAAACATGTGACAAGTTATAAAAATATATATTATTATATATAATTTATTTAAAATTATATTAGGGACAAGATCTTCTTACACTAGTGTAAGTCTAAAAACACTTACATCCAATCTGAGCATTTCATTTAACTTAAATCTAACAGGTTATAATTTATTACTTTACTAACTGTTAAATTTAAGTTAAATAAAAGACTCAGATTAGATGTAAAAGTTTTTAAACTTACACTGGTGTAATAAGATCATTCCCTACTATATTATTTATATTATTTGCTACATAGTCTTATTATTATTTATATATATTATCTACACATATTTGTAATATATATATATATTGTATATTGAATTTTTTATTTTATTTTTTTATATTTTTTTAATAAATTTTTAGTTTTGAATAAAATATAATTTATATTTAAGTAATTTCTATTTATTATAAATAAAAATAATTATAACATAATATATTGATATAATAATTAAAATAATTAAATATTAATAATAATAGAGTTAAAAATATATTAATATAATATTATTATTTTAGTCCGTTTAATTTTGTTTGCGTATTTTTTTATTTAAAGACTCAATTGTTCTTCACTTGTTCAAACTTAGTGAATATAATAATTTATTATTAAATAAATTTATTATTTAAACATTTGTCTAAAATTATTGGTTAAAATTTTTTCCTTAAAATTTTTTAAAAGTACCACAAAGTTTACCACTAATAGCTTTTATTTTCATCATTATTGCTCCTCTTATAACTTGTATGATTAGATTTAATTTGACTTTTTAAACTTGAAAATACGAGAAACAAAGTGCATATGAAAAATGGGTAAAAAAAATTAATTATTTTTGAATGAATAAATTACTTTAATAATATTAAACGTGGAAACGACTATTATTAATTAACAATAATTATGTTTCAGATGGACTTATTTTCTCTCCTCTAAATTAAGTTTTTATGTTGAATCAGCATAACATATGGCACAATCCTGACAAAATTGCATAATTTTGTCTTTGCTGATGACAAAATTTAATTAAAAAAATTAATTTTATTTATACGGTAGGTAGATAAAATAGGTATTAACTTGACAAAAAAGACTCCAGACAGGAAATATATTTTTAAAAAAAATATTATTTTAAGAAATTATTTTTTAAAAAAATTAAAAAAATATAAAAGGCTATAAATTGCAGTAGGATTTACCCATGCAACATGTATAGTTAATTTTCAGGGAAGATTTTGATGTAAAAAGATGTATAAAAATTCACATGGAAGAAATTTTTTATTTAAGATTATATCCACAATATTACGAGTAAATAATCAAATTAGTCTCTGAAAATTAACATTCGAAATCACGTTTAAGATTTCTCAATGTGTATTTGATTATTTTGTTCTTATATTACAAATCCTATCAACCAATTTGACCGATAAAATGCATAATTAAGGAACTGCTAAATACATACTTCAGGTTGAAGATCACAATTGTAATTTTCACTATTTAAAGACTAATAAGCCCGATGTTGAACCTTTTTAGACCAATTTGATCGTTTCTCTAATCTCTATGCTTATTGTTGTGCATAAATGACTCCATCCAAATGCAATAAGGGTGGAAACAAATCTAATTTAGCTGCTTAAACTCAATTATCATCCTCGAGTAAACTCAATGATGAAACATCAACATCTTGATGAACATAGCTTTTAAAATCAATCTTGTACTCGTGATGGTCAATTATCAAGAATAAGGTATGCATGCCCAAATGGCCTCATTGCTGGCCTCATCACTAACCTGTGAGAGGCAATTCCTCCATTCTAGAGGTAAGGCAAATCTTATACCTTTGTGAAGTTCCCAAAAGATATATATTTTAAAAATGATTGTCGCTGCTTGTTTCTATCTTTAATCAAACCCGGTGTGTGTATGTTATGAGATATAAGTTCACTCCAAGATACACACGTTCATATAAGAATGCTATTAACTTTTTATTGTTGACATTTTTTATTACTTCACAAGACACAAGATAAATAATTTTTCCTAATATAAAATTTCATCTGGTTTCTTGTAATTTTATGTTAATTTTATTCCTTCATATGTTATACGAAGAAAAACTTATGTCTTTTAAATCATTATTCAATCTGCGAATCGTAAAACAATATCTATACCAGTTCAATCTCCATTCCAATCTAGTTTAGTCCAAAACAAATCGAGTAAAAGAGATGAAGAATAATTTTCTAGCTAAAGCACCTTCAAATTTGTCCTTGGGAGAAAAACTAATTTGAAATATTAACAAAAACTTGTCAGGTTAAAATGGCAAGACTAAAGTTTGATAGCAATGATAATTCATCTACAATCATTTGTACCACTCATATTGTCATTTGATGAGGCTTGCTATCAATATTATCCTCCTTATCCTTGTTACCATCATTATCAGAACTGTGCACAACTAACATGCCGTCTACACCATGAACTCTGAGGCCTATACAGTATACACAAGTCAGAGGTTCCTAGCTTTGTAGCAACAACGCACAAGGAAAAGTATAACGAACCAAAAGAAAGTCAGATTCACAACAATCTGTGCTATAGCTTTCAATGCAATAATAATACTGTATAGTAAAGGATATCTAACATACCAGGAAAACTCTTCCTTCCTGCAATATTGTTTTAAGAAAGGGAACAGATCTGAATGTTGCTAAAAATAGAAGCACACAATATGCGTAGTCCTAAGATATCAACTCCTGCAGATGTAAGATGACAGTCAAAGAGCTGCTGCATGCTCAGAGTTTGACAGGTCCTCGTGATTACGCATCCTACGCTTGCGGTGAATTCTTCTATGGCTCCGATTATGTTTTCCTGATGGTTTATCTGGAGAATCAGAATGTTGAATTCCCTCCACCGGGGCTGGATAACCAAAAAGACAATCAAGAGGGTCTAGATCCGTCACAACATCAGGACCTGCTTTTATCTGCAATGAAATGTATCAGAAAAAAAATTATATGCTAAAAGAATCCCCTCCTAATTCGATCATCTTAATGATATTTTTGCATACGACATGTACCGACAGCAGCTTTTTATATTAGGCACATTAATTTGTTATAGACAAATCAAGTTAGAGAAACTACCATGCGCTGAAAATCTTATCACAGATATGTCTATTGATCATGTTACTACTGCAAAATGAAGTCTGTTTGCATTTTATTAGTCTAGGACCACAGGGGTCATCCATAAAAGGTATTCATAATCAAGACCGAAACATTCACAACATGATAAAATTAATTCTCTCAAATTTTTGAAGCATCAAGTTGAACTGAAATCAGAAATAAATTTTTCCAGTAGATTTCTAACTAATCTTGATGGATATGCTGCAAGTGTATTGAGAATGACCACCAGTGAGACTGCTAGTGTGGCTACAGTAGCATTTATCATCCTCTCCTAAGGCTTTTGTGATGGCTGCAGCCACTAGTGAGACAACTATTTTTTCCTAAAGAAAGTAATTGACAAAGAATGCATAGAAGTTTTGCAACCCATTAACATAATAAAATTGGGCATAAATCAAGTTTTTTCTCCTTGAATACTGGAAGTAACTTTCTCAATTCTTAGTATGCACAATTGAATTTCAATTATCAGTCCCTTCCCCAGGACATTTAAGGTGACCAAGGCAAAATAATTGAAGAACAAGAACAGGTGAGTCTAATAATACTTACAAAAGTATGGTTGGTCTCAAGATTTGTTTTTTTGCTGTCAGTGACATTTTCAGACCCGCCCTGGGAATTATAAGTGGAATCATTATGAGAGTCACCTTGGGATTTATTATCATAAGATTCATTATCATGTGTCCTATGACCATGGACTGCATTATCGCTAAAGAAATTACGATATCGCCATCTCAATTTTGGATTATTTGAGGTTGAATCATCAAAAATCCTCTCTGAATAGAAATGCTTAGACATAAGCCGCATTAGATAAGGATCATTCTGGTACTTCGTCACCAATCTGTCATGGAGCAACAAAAAAAAAATCACAAGAATATTTAATGAAAGAAAATTATATGTACAAAAATAAGCATGCAATAGGATAGTCCACAGGAATGAATTTCTTTTCTCTACCCTCATCTCCCCTCTTTTCTTTCCAGATTAGAAATGTAGTCCATGATAAAAGCAATCTGGAGCTACTTAATGTTAAAGGCCCTGGACATTTCCAACTGCAAAGATTATAATCTTACTTGGAACTTGGAAGCAAAGTAACCATTTAGTGAGAGGTATAAATTTTTAACTGGTTACAACAACAGATATGCTAAAACAGGTCCCATGTTTTATAATTAACTCAAAAAAAATTCAGGATTACTTGTATGTATTTATCCAGTTAAAAGTGCTAGTATGGGTCCTGGTGTTTTCTTTTGCAGCCATTCTTGTCCTGTTCTCTGTATAGGTTTAGTTAATACAAGTTACACTTTGTACTGCCAATTCACAGCAAGTATTGCCCTTGTGACTACAATATATATGCTAGTAAACTGAAAACAAATTATTTTTAAAATAAAAAATTATATCATCCCATCAGGCTGTCCCTGAGGTAACATCTAAAATGACATTACCCATCTAGCAGTAGATGATAAGGTTCCCTAGTTTAATATGTTTATTTACACTGAAATGGGGAAATACGTAGTAATAGAATCATAATTTATTCTTTGATCAAGTAATGCCAGAGCTATGTTTGTCAAATGCAAGAAAGCAAGAAACTAAAAGAAGAAATGAGTGGCATAGGTCTTCAACAACTACAATGTAAAAGAAAAGCGGAAAACTTAAACGTGCAAAACTCTTTCTATTATATTATCTGGAATAACTTCAATTATGATAAACTCTTATATATAAAAGATTGACGACTATAACACTACAATATAACATATTGGCTAAATCACTAATAACAGTTGCAGCTTCAACTAATATGTGGATGGAAGGAAATTTTGCAGTTAGAATGAATATAACAATCACCACATTTTCAATTTACCTTAAAATTTACTCCTCTACTAAACAGGAATAACTTTTTCCTTCCTTCTATAATTCTTAATTATCATTCCTATCAAGTGCATCCTAAATTTTCTTTGATCTTGCCACAGGTTGGCAGTCATTTGATAAGCTACTTTCTACTTCTATTCATATTTCAGAAAGAAAAAGTGACACCTAACATTGATCTAGTCAAAACCAAACTTTAGTAGTTTTGATTTTTCAGCTATCTATTGTACATAGCACAGTGAACCAAAGTTAAACTGACTTGCCCTGCATAACTTATGACAGTGAGAAAACCTACATATTCGCTAACTCCTTCTGTAATATACTACCATCCATTGTAAGAATCTGCTCTGCACAAGAATCCAAGGTTCTATGAAACATCCACAGTCCAAAGAAACCACCAGCTGCTGCAAAAGGATAAGACAACAAACAAGGGAAAGGAAAGAAGGCCTTAGTAGAACTGTAGAAGTAAAGATACAACAAATGATTTTAGGCGTCCAAAAGGAAGACAGATGATTTCTCTTACCTGCTGAAAGGTTGATTCGAAATGGTTTACGAAGTTTCCAAGTGGCTGTAATATAGGAATAATGATTATCATTTTACAAACCCAGGAGTGACAAGAATGATAAACTTCCACAACTATGGTAGAATAAATAAAATGTACATAAATCTTTCTGGTAGAGCCCGTCAGGTTGTTAAGGAAGAAAAGAAATAAGAGAAAGAAAAGAAGCATTTTCTTTTATAGCTTAGTTAACCTCACTATCACAACCAGTGCTTAGACTAGTCACCAGTTAGATTACTTTTATCACTTTAAAGATTCAATGTTCCAAGAGCAAGAAATTTCACGTATAGAATAAATACTCATTGAATCAATGTAAATGAACAGCGGAATATTTCAAGATACTGAAATCACAAACCTGCCCATACAGAAATACCCCCAGCAAGTGAACTAGCAGTGAAATCCCTCACAGCTTTAGATTTGAATGATAGAAGAACATTTGACTCCTTAGGTGTCAATTTTTGCTAGAAAACATGAAAAGAAGCATATTTGGTGACAAAGTAGATAGCACCAGCGTCAAGTCCAGTTTCAATGAGCTTTCACAAACCGTACAGAATAGCCTTTTCAAACAATTTTGAAAGCACAAAATCATGTGGTTCAGTGATTATCGCCAAATAAAGGGAGCTAATTTTAACTCAAAACTGCCAAAATGTGAAAGCATTTATATCCAAATTGCAAACACCAATTGAAATAGAAGCAAGAAACAATCAATCTCAGAAGGATGAATCAAGAAATGACAGTAAAAATAGAAAAGAGTGTAACAGTAGAACTCAAAATAAGCATGATCAGGTGTACCCATTGACACTAATTTCTTAAAAATGAATACATAGAGAAAAGATTTTCATATTGGAATCAACATTGAGGGAAAAGAAAAGCCCTAGCCATATCCAATGGTAGAAAAGGGTACATTTTTGGAGATGAGAACTTTTTCAAGATCAACCAAGGCTTCGCCCATTGCTCCCCTCCCTCTTTGCGTGTTTCTCGCTTTCTTTCAGAGAAAGATCAAATTGAATTCAAATAATCTCTTTTTCAGTTACTCAATCTTTGTCCCCTGTAATACATGCAATTTATTTTCTTTCTATAATCACTCTTTCTTAATGCCAGTTTCTTCTTATCCTCTTTTTTACTTTTTTTTTTTTTTGGTTTAACGAAGAAAAGAAAAGAAAGAAACAAGAAATAAAGAAGTAAAAATAAATAATTTTTAAATTTATTATGTTTAAGAAAAGTAAAGCAAAGAATATGAAAAAGTAATATTTCTTTTAGAAAGATGTTTATATTCCGAAACTTATTATGTTTAAGTAACAAAAATAGAGGTGTGTTTGAAAAAATATATAAAAATAATTTATAATTCTTATAAATATTATTTTATTTTATTTTTATTATTTTCCATTGAAACTTCATTTTATGATGAATTTTTTTCCTTTTAATTACATGCACTATATAGTGCGTGTTTAGTTAATATCAATCAGAAATTTTGATTTTAGTTAGAACTCTCATTAGATGAATTTTAACTCAAATAATAACTTATAACTAATTTTTTAATTCAAGTTAGTTAATTTGATCTCTATATACTATAAAATTTTAATATAATAAAAGTGTATTAAATAGTACTTGATTAAGTTATTATTTAAAAGTATCCTAAATAATATATGCTAAGAGTAATTTTTTAATAAAAACAAAATCTCTTTTCTCATCAATTTTATGACAACAAGGAGAAAGTTTTCTGGTGAACTTACATAATTCTTTTTCACTTATTTCTATGTCTTTGTTAACCTCATTTTAAGTATAAAAATTATTAATTTTTATTTAAAAATATATCATTTATTATATTCTTGCATTTTTATATAATATTTTTTTATAAAAATTGTTACCTTTATTAAATTTAAAATTTGAAATTAACGTTTTCAATATTTCTATGTCATACCAAACTAGAAAGGTACATTTTTGTCTTTCCAAACCGTTTTTCACATACTAAAATAAGTGTTAGAATTAGTTTTTATATATCCAAAACAATATTTTTATTGTTTAATGAGAAGTATTTATATTAATTATTTATAAATAATATATAACAAACCGTTTTTCAAATTTTATTACTTTGTCTAATTAAAAACTCATTTAATAAGCATGAAATTGGGATTCTTTGACGACCTCACCCATCACAATCATCAACATTTCAGTTCCCAAACCATAGCAATGGTCTCTTCTTTATCCATTCATGAGAATTTAGCGTCCTAAGAAATATCTAAAACTGACACAATTCAACAAACATTTGTCTGAAGCCATGACCAGCATCATCCACACCACCTTAATTCCTGCTAACAACCCAAAGGTGAATCCATTGTTAACAGCACTCACATCATGCAAAACACTTATCCAAGTGAAGCAAGTGCATGCTCAAATCCTACGCTCCAACCTCAATTACTCAAACTCGTTCCTTTTCAAACTAGTCCTTTCCTCTTCTGCCTTCCCTTCCTCTTCAGCCTTCGATTACGCCCTCTCCCTTATCTCCCAGATTCCAAACTCGGACACCCATTTCTGCAATCAACTTCTTCGTCAATTCTCTCGTGGTCCCTCGCCGGAAAAGACCCTCTTCCTTTATCGGAAGTTGAGGAGAAATGGGTCCCTTCTCAACAGGTTCAGCTTTCCTCCATTGTTGAAGGCCGTCTCTAAAGTTTGTGCCTTGAATGAAGGGTTGGAGATTCATGGCTACGCCTCCAAGTTGGGCTTCCACGCTGACCCTTTCATTCAAACTGGGTTGATTGCCATGTATGCAGCATGTGGGCGCATTATGGATGCGCGTTTGCTGTTTGACAAAATGTCTCATCGGGATGTCGTTACCTGGAATATGATGATTGATGGGTATGCCATATATGTGCTCTTTGTAACATAAATTATGACCTTTCTGGCTGCTGCTACTTTGCTGTGTAAGATTTTCACCTCTCAAATTTTGGAACAGGTACTGCCAGAGTGGTCTTTATGACCATGTTTTGAAGCTTTATGAAGAAATGAAGAGCTCTGGTATGGAGCCGGATGGTATTATCCTTTGTTCCGTGCTTTCTGCCTGTGGTCATGCTGGAAATTTAAGCTATGGCAAAGCAATCCATGAGTTCATTGTAGATAATGATCTTTATGTTGACTCTCATTTACAGACTGCTCTTGTTAACATGTATGCAAATTGTGGTACCATGGATTTGGCTAGGGAAGTCTATGATAAACTTTCATCAAAACATTTGGTTGTTTCGACTGCAATGCTTTCGGGGTATGGGAAACTTGGAATGGTTAATGATGCTCGCTTCATATTTGACCAAATGGTTGAAAGGGACTTGGTGTGTTGGAGTGCCATGATATCTGGGTATGCTGAAAGTGATCAGCCTCAAGAGGCTCTTAACTTGTTCAATGAAATGCAGCGGCGAGGAATAGAGCCTGATAGGATAACAATGCTGAGTGTCATTTCTGCTTGTGGTCATATTGGTGCACTTGTTCAAGCAAAATGGATTCATACATATGCAGACAAAAATGGGTTTGGAAGAGCTCTATCTATCAACAATGCCCTGATTGATATGTATGCCAAATGTGGGAACTTGGTCAGAGCAAGAGAGGTTTTTGAGAATATGTCTAGAAAAAATGTAATATCTTGGTCCAGTATGATCAATGCATATGCCATGCATGGGGATGCTGATAGTGCCATAGATCTTTTCCATAGAATGAAAGAACAAGATATTGAGCCCAATGGGGTTACATTTATAGGTCTCCTTTATGCTTGCAGTCATGCAGGTTTGGTTGAGGAGGGCCAGAAATTCTTTTCCTCTATGATCAACGAACATGGCATTCCTCCCCAACGTGAGCACTATGGCTGCATGGTTGACCTGTATTGCAGAGCCAATAACTTGAGAAAAGCCGTGGAGATTATTGAGACGATGCCTTTCCCGCCAAACGTTATCATTTGGGGGTCCCTTATGTCAGCTTGTCAAAATCATGGTGAGGTTGAGTTAGGAGAATTTGCTGCCAAGCGGCTTCTTGAGTTAGAACCTGATCATGATGGAGCCCTTGTGGTCTTGTCAAACATTTATGCCAAAGAAAGAAGGTGGGATGATGTTGGACTGATCAGGAAATTAATGAAACATAAAGGTATCTCAAAGGAGAAGGCATGTAGTAGGATTGAAGTGAATAACAAGGTGCATGTTTTCTTGATGGCAGATAGATATCACGAACAATCAGATAAAATATATGAGAAGTTAGATGCAGTAGTTGGTCAATTGAAGTTGGCTGGCTACACCCCCAGTACTTCAGGCATTTTGATTGATTTAGAAGAGGAAGAGAAAAAAGAAGTAGTTCTCTGGCACAGTGAAAAATTAGCACTGTGCTATGGGCTAATTAGTGGGAGGAAAGAATCATGCATTCGCATAGTTAAAAATCTTAGAATATGTGAGGATTGTCATACCTTCATGAAATTGGTCTCGAGGGTATATCCAATAGAGATTGTTGTGAGAGATAGGACTAGGTTTCACCATTTCAATGGTGGTATTTGTTCTTGTAGAGACTATTGGTAATTATTTCTTTTTGTTTAGTTGAAATACACTGTGGCATATCTTAATTTTTGGGCCTGTCATATAGGTGTTACGGCATATACTTGAGCTTTGTGAAGGTTCCCTACTATAATTTGATCATTATTTCTAGTTTTGATAAAAAAAAATTACTATAAATTCATTTGGCAGTTGATAGTCTCATGGAGAGAAAAAATGTTTTGGTAGTGCCAAACTTTGTCGCAGAAAAGATAAGCGTGGGAGGTATCCATTTCTCTCCATTGCCAAAAAAAAAAAAAAAAAAAAAAAAAAAAAAAAACACTGGACACAGCCCAGTGAGTGATAAAATATCACCCTTTATATTTTCAAACCTCAATTTTAAAATAAAATATATTATACTCATAACATATATTGAATGGATAGAATCTTATGTGATGATAATATCATTGTAGAGAATTCATTCTGTTGTAAGCTATACTAAAAATTACTCCTCAACTCAATTATATTTACAACACCAATTAAACTTTTACACTAGTTAGAGTTGACTACATGAGGTGCCACCATAATTCTCTCATTTTAAAAGTTCTTTACGGAATAGTTGAATAAATCTATTGTTATCAAAATTTCATAAAAATCACGTGCTAAAAAATATAATATTCCCTTTTTTTTTCAGTTAAATTTAACTAATAGTTAGCCCAACTTATATTGAACTTTTTCTTTTACTTAAAAGTGGAAGCTTGATCAAATAATAGTTTGAGCAAAGAAACTTTCAAAAAATGTAATTTATTTGATAAACAAAAATTTTATAAAGATTTATTTTTCAAAAAAAAAAAAAGGTTTTAAGTTTTGACTTTTATTTTAAAAAATTATTTTTCACAATAATTAAGTGTTCATTCTTTTTATTTTGGCTAGATTAATTTTCTTTTTAAAATATTTTTCACTTTTTAATTATCAAATTATTTATGTGCTTAACTTATAAATTATATTATATTCATAATTCTTTCTTATATTTAAAAAATAAAATTAATTTTTTTATTCATGTTATTTTAAACTTAAATGTTTTTATTATATTAATAAAGGATCGTTTTATGCAGTAATTACACTAGACAAAATTGAACATCAACAAAGTTGTCATCAAACGCTGCCAGCTACCAAAGTTATTTCTGCATTCCGCCCATTTCACTGCAAGTATTCATATGGTTATAAAGTTTTAAGTTCCACGATGAAAAATTAATAAATATGGATCCAATATAAATGTTATAACTAATAGCGTTGAAATAACATAAATCAGTAATTAATTAAATGGGAAATCAAGATTAGCGTGTGCAGATATTATATTTGATTTGACTGAACAAAGAGTCATGGATAATATGAATAAAATAGTCAACTGAGGTTGGCTAAATTAATATTTCAAAGTTCAAACTGTGTGGATAAAAGGGTGTCTGCCAATTGCATAAAAAAGAAGATAAAATAGCATTTCAAACTTATCTATGTTTTAGCCTCACAGAACCTTACCTACCTATAGGCCATAGCCAAGTAATAAGAATAAGGTGAGAAGAGTTTACTCACAAAATATCTATTAGAATGAGATTTTTAAACCTTCCTTACTCGTCCTTCATTATCATAAAAGGACAGGTCTTAGTTACCATATATAGTTTATAACGTGTATTGTTTTTGATGAGTCACTAACTTATCTAGAAAATTAAAGGTTTTTAGGTATATTTCATTAAATTTAAATTATAAGTCAATATAATTAATTAAAAAATTTAATGGAATGTTGTATTTGCTGGAAAATTCATGAATCACTCATATTTTAATGGCTGACAATTTTATTTTGAAAGAATTAAAAAGAAATTCTACAATTGGACTTAAAGAGCAAAAGAGGAGTGTTGCAGGTCTGATTTGTGGGAATACGATGCTGACTGATGCATATAAAAGTGAAATTTTTTTGAAAAGGCGGCATCTTTTATCTTTCCTTTTTAGAACATTCTGGAGCACGGTTTTCTAGGTTTTCATACAGTTTTACGTAGGATAGGATAACTAGGGCTTTTTCTTTACATCTTGGTAGAAGGATTCTCATGGGAACTTGGATTTCCTTTCCATCTTCTATGATTTTTGTAATAAAACAGTAACACTTTCACTCTATCCTTTTGCTGTAAGCTTTTCTATAACTATGAATTTCGTTTCTACAATATATCTCAGTTTTAATTCATTTCCTTTCATAATGTCTAGCTAAATCTCTTTGGGTTGAGTAAAGATGAACTTATACCTTTACCCTTTGCAATGAACTAAGCATTATATGTGACTCAAGATGGAAGCTTTAATCTAACTTTTTAATTCTGAACTTAATGTCTCGCTGTTTTACGTGAATGAGGTTGATAAAAAGGAGTTCATTGCTGGAAAGCTGTGGACTTTCTTGGATTGGGGTTAAAATGCTTATTATGAATTATCTAGGAATACAAATTTATGATAATGTGGTCATATGAGTTTTATTCTTAATGCTGAACGTTTTTGGTTTACCTAAGGGATTAGAAGATTAAAAGTCATTTTAGAACCAATTACCAAAGGATTGGAGTTGGATAATTGAGTCAACCTGACCATTAGATTGGCTATATTTTGAGTTACAAGTATATTTTAAGCAAGAAGAAAGGGATAAGGGATTCTAAACTCAACCCATTTATTAATCTTTACAAAAACTTATTTTCTCTACTTGAGTTATTTACATTCTGCAGTCCTGTTACTTATTTTCTGTATTAAGTTTTACTTTTGTCCATTTATTAATTGTAATTCTAGCATCTTTACTTTTAGTTTTACAATTCTGTTGCGTTTAATTTCGTATTACTATATATACGCTGTTTTTGGTGACTCAATTAGTAATATTCTTGTAGTTTGATACTTAACACTTATCCTTGTGGACGATAATCTTTTGTAACTTCAACGATTTGATGCACTTGCCAAAAAGTTCTATCAAGTTTCTGGCACTGTTACTGGGGATAATGGTTGTTAATATCAACGGTAATGAGAATATGTTAGATTGGGTTAATAACGTTTGCTGTGTTTCAGGTTTATGACAGGAACTTACGTATAGCAGCTGTGACGGTTGATGCAAGGCAAGGAAAAAATCAAAAGTAGTGACTCATCTCCTGACCTTGACCAGCCAATTATTAATTTCAAGAAAAAGAACAAAAAGAAAAGACAAACTTCAGAAAAAGAGAAAGAAGAAGACCCACAAGAACAAAATTCTGCAAAAATGGCAGGAAATCCCAAGGAAGAACGAAGGACTTTGGATGATTATGCACGTGCAAAATTGAGAGGAAACCCCACCTCTATTGTTCGACCTCCCATTCAAGCAAATAACTTTGAGATCAGACCTGACCTTATGAGAGTGGTCCAGCAAGAGCAATTTGTTGGACATCCTTCCGAAGACCCCCACTTGCACATTTAGAATTTTTTGACCATTTGTGGAATGATTAGAATGAATGGTGTGAGTGGTGAGGCTATCCGGTTGTCTCTTTTTCCATTTTCTTTAAGGGATAAGGCAAAGAGGTGGTTGTTATCCCAACCGGAAGGAAGTATCACTACTTGGGATGATTTAGAGAGTAAATTTCTGACGAAGTATTTTCCAGCCTCTAGAACAACCAAGTTGAGGCAAGAAATTCTGCCTTTTTCTCAAAGGGAAGATGAAACACTTCAAGAAGCATGGGACAGACTCAAGGAACTCTTGAGAAGTTTCCCTTATCATGAGCTACTCGAATGGCTTCAATTGAGAACTTTTGATGATGGGCTGAATGTAGCAACAAAGACAATGGTGGATGCAGCAACTGGAGGCTCATTTACTCAAAAGACCTTGGAAGAAGCACGCCAACTCATTGAAGTTATGGCATCTAACATTACAATCATAGGGAAAGGAACTCTTCAAAAAGAGGTGTATTGGAGCTGAATACATTAGATGTACTGCTGGCCCAGAACAAATTAATGTCACAACAGTTAAATTCTCTCAATGCTAAGTTTGAAAACATGAAGTTTGAAGGGAATAAACTAATACACTATGTAGCTCCCATCAGCCAAGAGGAATACAATGAGGGAACAAGTGAAGACAGAGTTGAATACATGCAGCAACAAGGGGTTGAACAGGTGAACTTTATGAATAACATGCCAAGGCAGCAGAATTTTAATTCAAGACCGCAGTGGTAGCAACAAAACTTTCAGCAGAAACCTGCTTATCCACCTTAAAAGCAGCAGTTTAGACCAAATTCCAACTTAAATACTAGGTCACCGAACTAATCATACTCTACTCCACCTGCACAAAGACCAAACCAACAAGGAGGATAGTGGCAGCAGCAAAATTTTTAGAATTCAGGACCAATGCAGCCACTAAACCAACTAGCAAATGATTAGGTATCATCTCTTGAAAAAGCACTTGTGCAATTAACTCAAACCACGAATTTATTTATGCAGGATGCAAGCACAAGGATGGAAAATCAAGAAGCCTCCATGAAGAATTTGGAGAACCAAATGGGGCAAATTATAAAGAAAATAAATGAACCAGCTCAAGGCTCTTTTTCTGGAAATACAGTGGAAAATCCAAAAAAATTCTGCCAAGCAATTATTACTAGAAGTGGAAAGGTGGTAGAGCCACAACCTAAGAAGAACCACTTGAAAAGAACGATGATGTAATTGCTGGACAAGAAGAAGAGGTAGCAGAACAGCAACCAGAACCAAAATTGGAGATTGCAAAAGAGGAAGAAGAGGAGAAAATTCCACCAAAATAGAAATTAGTGGTGGATGAGGCATATTGGAATAGATCTAAGAAACAAATTTTGGAAGATTCATGCAAGCCTCAAATCCCTCCCACCTATGTAAAGCTGCCATATCTACACATTCCCAAGAACAAAGGGAAGGAAGAGCAATTTTCCAAATTCCTGGACATTTTCAGAAAGCTGCACATAAATATACCATTTGCAGAAGCGCTAGAACAAATGCCTTTGTATGCCAAGTTCATGAAAGACTTGCTTTCAAAGAAGAGGAAGTTGAAGGAGGATGCTACAATAACTTTAATCGAAGAATGCAGCGCAATATTGCAGCAAAAGTTGCCTTCTAAGTTGAAAGATCCAGGAAGCTTCACAATCCCCTGCACTATAGGAAATGTGACTATTGGGAAGGCCTTATGCGACTTGGGGGCCAACATCAATTTGATGCCACTCTCTATTTTGAAGAAATTGGGAGTGGGAGAAGTTAAAAGTATAAAAATGGCTCTCCAACTAGTTGACCGATCCATCAAATACTCATATGGTGTAATGGAGGATGTGTTGGTGAAGGTGGACAAATTGATTTTTCCAGCAGACTTCGTTATTTTAGATATGGATGAAGATTCTGAGGTACCTGTGATCTTGGAAAGACCATTTCTAGCCACTGGAAGAGCTTTGATTGATGTACAGCAAGGCCAATTAATGTTAAGGGTGCATGATGAGAAGGTGACTTTTAAATTTTTTGAGGCTATGCAGCATCCGGATGATGAGAAGGACACTTGTTTTAGGATAGAGATGGTAGATTCCTTGATTTCAGCAAAAAGCTTTAGTGCTGAAATTTGTACATACCCATTGAAGAAGGCTTTAGTTAATGCTGTCATGAACAATGATGAAGAAGTTGATGAAGAGTTGTAAGAAATTGTACAACAGCTGGATGCTCAGCCTGAGTTGCAGAAAAATACAAATACTGAAAGTCTGGAAGAGTCAAATTCAGTGGATGCACAGCAGCTGGAACTGAAACCCCTGCCTCTACACTTAAAATATGTATTTTTAGGGGAAAAGAAGACTTGCCCAGTGATAATCAGTAGCAAACTCTCTCAACTGAATGAAGAAAAATTAATGAGAGTTTTGAGGGAGCATAAGGCAGCCATCGGATGGTCTATTGCAGACTTGAAAGGAATCAGTCCCATTTTCTGCATGCACAAGATTAAAATGGAGGAGAAATTTACACCAGTTGTGCAGCCACAAAGGAGACTGAACCCAGCAATGAAAGAGGTTGTAAAAAAAGAAGTACTGAAGCTTCTAGCAGCTGAGATGATTTATCCAATTTCGGACAGCGAGTGGGTAAGCCCAGTGCAAGTAGTGCCTAAGAAGGGAGGCATGACAGTGGTCAAGAATGATAACAATGAACTCATCCCCACTCGGACTGTGACAGGGTGGAGGATGTGTATTGACTATCGAAGGCTGAATCAAGCTACTCGCAAGGACCATTTTCCATTGCCATACATGGACCAGATGCTCGAAAGGCTGGTTGGCCAAGAATTTTATTGCTTTCTAGATGGCTATTATGGGTACAACCAGATTGCGGTCAGCCCAGAAGATCAAGAGAAGACCTCATTCACTTGTCCCTTCGGTGTTTTTGCATATCGAAGAATGCTATTTGGGCTGTGCAATGCTCCCGCCACATTTCAGCGGTGCATGTTTGCCATTTTTGCTGATATGATTGAAAAGTCCATAGAAGTTTTCATGGACGATTTTTCTGTTTTTGGACACTCTTTTGATTTGTGTTTGACTAATTTGTCTTGTGTTTTGCAAAGATGCATAGAGACCAGCCTAGTTCTCAACTGGGAAGAAAATGCTACTTAAGATTCATGAAAACTCATCTAGAAAATTAAAGGTTTTTAGGCATATTTCATTGAATTTAAATTATAAGTCAATACAATTAATGAAGAAATTCAATGGAATGTTGTATTTGCTGGAAAATTCATGAATCACTCATATTTTAATGGCTGACAATTTTATTTTGAAAGGATTAAAAAGAAATTCTACAATTGGACTTAAAGAGCAAAAGAGGAGTACTGCAGGTCTGATTTGTGGGAACACAAACTTTTATTTGTGGGGACACGATGCTGATTGATGCATATAAAAGCGAAAAAATTCTGAAAAGACGGCATCTTTTATCTTTCCTTTTTAGAACATTCTGGAGCACGATTTTCTAGGTTTTCATACAGTTTTATGTAGGATAGGATAACTAGGGTCTTTTTTTTTACATCTTGGTAGAAGGATTCTCATGGGAACTTGGATTTCCTTTCCATCTTCTCTGATTTTTGTAATAGAACAGTAATACTTTCATTCTATCCTTTTGCTGTAAGCTTTTCTATAACTATGAATTTCGTTTCTGCAATATATCTCAGTTTTAATTCATTTCCTTTCATAATGTCTAGCTAAATCTCTTTGGGTTGAGTAAAGATGAACTTATACCTTTACCCTTTGCAATGAACTAAGCATTATATGTGACTCAAGATGGAAGCTTTAATCTAACTTTTTAATTCTGAACTTAATGTCTCGCTGTTCTACGTGAAAGGGGTTGATAAAAAGGAGTTCATTGCTGGAAAGCTGTGGACTTTCTTGAACTGGGGTTAAAATGCTTATTATGAATTATCTAGGAATACAAATTTATGATAATGTGGTCATATGAGTTTTATTCTTAATGCTGAACGTTTTTGGTTTACCTAAGGGATTAGAAGATTAAAAGTCGTTTTAGAACCAATTACCAAGGGATTGGAGTTGGATAATTGAGTCAACCTGACCATTAGATTGGCTATATTTTGAGTTACAAGTATATTTTAAGCAAGAAGAAAGGGATAAGGGATTCTAAACTCAACCCATTTATTAATCTTTACAAAAACCTATTTTCTCTACTTGACTTATTTACATTCTGCAGTCCTGTTACTTATTTTCTGTATTAAGTTTTACTTTTATCCATTTATTAATTGTAATTCCAGCACCTTTACTTTCAGTTTTACAATTCTGCTGTGTTTAATTTTGTATTACTATATATACCCTGTTTTTGGTGAGTCAACTAGTAATATTCTTGTGATTTGATACTTAATACTTATCCCTATGGACGATAATCTTTTGTAACTTCAACGATTTGATGCACTTGCCAAAAAGTTCTATCAGTTTTATAATTCAAACAAAGGTAAATGATAATTAAGTACCTAAATGAGCATAATTCATAAACCATCTTTGATTCAACAAATAGAATTAGTGTCTTCGCCACTTGATTTTTGTTGGTTTAATGGAGCTTTGGAGATTCTATTCCTCAACCTCAAGAAAACTATTCAGCCACATAACGTAGTAAAGCTAAAAAGGAAAAATTACACACTAACATTACTTAAAGCAAGTTGTGATGATGACATTCTCCATTATAGGGCAGTGATAAAATCTCATTTTTTGTGTTTGAAAATTGAGGGTTATTGCACAAACTACCTGTGGGAAGTTGACTATAGGAGTTTCTTTAATAATATATGAATCAAATGGTCAGATATGTTTATGGAATAGAAATGATAGCATCAAACTTTCTTTTTGTACAATTTTTTAATGATATATTTATTATTGAGTGAAATCTCATCTCAAACACCCACTAAAGTGTGGTCCTAGATTATGTAGTGAAAATGAGTGCTCAAAAAGACAAAAACCACACCTTAAACCTAACAACACCAAATGCTGCTTGACTTGCAAAGTACGTTAGCTCCCTTGAGATCTTTTGGGAATAAAACTGAATGCAAGATTTTGTTCTCGTGTGAATCATTTCAAGGTTAGTATTGCATACGGTGCCCTTTCTTTGAAGGAACACAAAGATGGAAACATAAGCACCTTTCAATAAAGAGATTAATAATGTAATCAGAAGCATTAAAATTGAAATATATTTTTTTTATCTTAAGAAAAAAACTGTGTTGGGAGAGAATGGTTCTGCTTATGTGTTTCATGCAGAATAACTAGTCTTCTTTTTTTCTTGAAAATTTTACCTCTTTTGCCAAGAAAGGAAAATAATTAGTCATGGGATGTCGGAAAGAGAAGAAAAATGAGAAGAAAAAGACAGTTCATACATATGAAATAGAACTTCCTAGCCTGTACAAGACAAAGTGGAAAACTTAGCCACAAAAAGTAAACTAAAAATTTTATTTGAACCAAACCAAAACAGAGTGATGGGGTGCTTTGTTGTTCCCGCCTTCCAACCTCCTATGGTTTCATCATTGCAATGGGAAATTGGAGGAATATTCACTCACTTGAGAAGTGGTGGTTGACCTCTTGTTTGATGAAGATAAGTCAGTTGACCTTCTCCTTAGCATCTGCCTCATGCCATCAGCAACCTTAACCGCAGGATTCGATTTGATCTTACGACAAAATGACATGTGAGCTTTCACAGCTTCTTCCATGGCAAATAGCTTTTTCTCTCTGATAACTTCGTCTCTCACTGCTTCTGAGCACAACCCACATAACCATATGCCATCAAATTTGGCCTTCACTTCACGGATATATTCTTGGGTGCAATCCTCTTTCAGGCCACAACACTCGCACTTTGCCGATTCAATTTCCATATTTACCTGTGTGTGAAAGTCTTTCTTATCTTGCTTTATAAGGATGAGAATGTTTTGATGACCAAGTGCTGTGAGCCACGAGTGGTTTCTTTTGGTTGGATTTGAACGCAATGATGACACATCCAATCTTATTATTTCCTTTATGTTGGCATGTTGCTGTGCTTTCTCACCTGGGATTGATGGTGTTGTTGCTTCAAGAACTAGTAAGTGTTTGTTGTTCAACAAGAGCTTTTATGGTGTTTGAGATGAGAGAGAGAGAGAGTGCAAGTAGGGATATTTGCCATAATTTCCTCCACGTTCTAAGGGACATTGGAGATGTGGAAAATAAGATGAGAGTGGTCAGAGGGGCCTTAATTATGGCCCTCCTTTGCATTTAATAATGTCAAACACATCAGCATCTAATTCAACATATTAATAACCAATTACTATATATCTAATATCTATCATATTCCTAGTCCTACTATACTAACTAATCCTCTCCCTTTTTACTAACAAAGCGACAATCTTCAAGGCTCATGAATTGAAACTTAGCAAAGGTCGAAATTAAACACATAAAAGTGTGGCTATGTAGTGGGAGCCTTTGATAGTACGTGTGAATGAATTCTTTTGTAGCATGTTTATTCATGTTGTTTTGTCGTCACTTTTGGTAGTTTGTCCCGTAGTCCTACTGATGTTACACAAATCTCATTTTCACAACTTTATGATTTTCGGTTTAAGTGATTCCTTTTTTCTGTTTTCTTTTTCTATTATTATTGACAAATTGCTTTTCTGTACTGAAACAGAAGCACCTTTCTAATGGTTATAATTATAGATATGAATTGTATGACTCTCGTTATTCTCTTTTTCTGACCTTTGCTTTCGGTTAAAAAGTTTTAGGATTTTGTATCTGGCTTCCCTTTTACTTGTTGAGAAGTAAAAGAGAGAAAACTCTTGAAGCATCTTTATCCGCAAAACAAAAATATTATCTTTCATTGTGAGAGGGTGTAATAAGAAGTAAAAGAAATGAACCTTTTTTCCAAATAAGGAACCTTGACTGTATATACAACTGTACTTACACATAAAAAGGTTTATTTAAAAAATCAAGATATGCAACGACCAATATAATTGTCCTAAGAATGTGAATGCTGACTAATTCTATGAATGTGAGTGCTGACTAATTCTATAAGCGCATGGCAAGATAGGCTACTCTTGTTCTTTTGGTTAGCTTAAAATATATGAATGTGATTGCTGACTAAGTATATGTGATGATTCTTGCGAAATAGCTTTTGCTCTTTTTTTTTTTTTTGGTTACAGCAATAGATTTTGCTTAGTAAGGTAAAAGTAAAACAGTCACAATCACAACTAAGATCATTCGATCGAATGAATATGAATTTAATCATGTTTTTGCAATTTTCGTACCTCAATTTGATTGCACTGATCCTATAACTTGTGCATATTCATGGCTAATGTGGTTGCAGGAGAGAATGTTGTGTATAAATTTTCACTGGCGAGCTATATATAACGAATGGGTCAGTCGATTTAGCTGATATTGAACAAAAATTGTTTAGATGTTGAACAAAAATTAAAAAATATATACAATTTCTAATATAATGTATTAACTTTGTTAGTCTACTTAAGATGAAATCATTTACTTTGTGAAGTAAAAACGTAGACAATCTCAAATCGATATCCATGAGAGATCACAATTTCTTCAAGAAAAAGAATGTATTTAAAATGAAAGCCATAGATAAGATAATTAAAATTAATTACTTTGTAAGTAACTCGCTTCAAAAGTAGTTATGTGTGTCTAAATACAATAGAGCTTGAATTTATTATTCTATTCATAGAATCATAACACTAAAAGCGATTTGGACCTGTAAACATTTTATTTGTATGTCCTTCATTGTTATTTTTAATTAATGCGAGATGTTCTCAATTTTTTAATATATTTTTAAGTACGTCTAACTGACTTGTTCTAGCATAAATTTGTACTTTAACTCTAAGATATCACAAATTTTTATTTATTTTTATAAAAAATTATAAAACTCTCTTAATTTAAAAATAAAAAAATTATCCTCACACTCCTTTTTCTCCAAAATCTCACTTCTAAATATAGCTTAACATAAATCTGTGCATGTCTTACTTTTTCGCAGTACTTCTTTCATTTTCAACCTGCATGTGACTTTATTTTCCAACAATTTCATTTCCTGCAAAGCATTATTGTTGTTCACTAAATCACTATCAAATTTAATTGACAGACGAATGTGACACAACAATGAATTGACGACTGGACTACACAAAGCCGAATTTTCTAGGTGCTGCAAGTTGCAATAATACAACAAATTTTCTTGATATAGTCTCTTTTTCTTTTTTGGCTAAAACAAATATCTCTTTTCCTTTCTTTTCCTGTGCCCAGCGAACAAAATATCTTCATGTGATTCTATTCAAAAACACTTATATGCAATGCCACTTAGCTTGCACATGGCAAATGCAAATGCATGTACCTCTTTGCTCTGTTTGTCTTTTGTCTTGGCAAAAGAAGTTTGCATTGTTACTTGTTACCATGTAAATTTTAATCATGCTAACTTGTTACTGACCTCTCTCTCTCTATATATATATATAGGGACAGAATCTTCTTATACTGAAATAAGTATAAAAATTCTTATACTCAATCTGAGCCTTTTATTTAATTTAAATCTAACGAGTTATAATTTATGACTTCATTGGCAGTTAAATTTAAGTTAAATGAAAGATTCAGATTGGATGTAAGAATTTTTGAATTTACACTGGTATAAGAAAATCATTTCCCATATATTATATATACTTGAATTTATGGTTTAAAATCTTACTTAAATTTAAAATTATTACTCAAAAAACTTGTTACTTAACATGCTTCAGAATAGTTAAAAATAGTCTAAATATAGATTCAATATAAACATTTAAACACTTACGTGCTGAATCACTGGATGCAATTCAACCCCACTTCACAATGTTGCACCTATTCTCTAATTTCTTATTAGCTCACTTTCACGGGTCTCCTTGTAAGTGGCACGACACTGACCGTATCCTAACATCATTTAATGGGAAGTAATCAATTATTAGAGCATTGTTGTGCTAGAATTTACTGGAATGTAAATCTATGTGTGTGGCATAGGGCAGCACGCTATGCTCCCTTCAACGTTGCTTTCACCTACAATGTTGTGTCTGATATTGTTGATTCAATCTCACAAGCAAATAGATATGGGAACTTCTTGAATTCGGAACTGTAATATCATAATTGGTCAGTCATTGCCCACGAACTCAAATCTTGAGTTGTTTTTACGACAAAAGCAAAGCTATTCAAAGTCAGAGTTGGTGTATATTGAAGGAAGATGCACATATGAAAGGAAACATGACACGTGCATGTTTTGTTGAAAGTTTGAAACCACCCAGCTAACCTTTTAAGATTTTGGCAAATTTGGGTTATTGGATTCTCATAAAAATATTTATTCATTATCTGCTCATATTTTCCATAATTTTAGAAGATTGTACGTTGTTCTCAACTCAACCAACGTCTATCAGTGGTTTTCATCGGATCTTGAAGGCCCAAATCATTGTTAAACCATACCAAATCTAAATTAGACATGTTGATGGCATACAAGGAATCATGATTGAGAGGGTTAATTTCACAACGATAGTCCCAAACAATAGGTACTTATTTTAGGACCCTGACAAAAGCCTAACGAAATCGCTTTTAGTTTTGCATTAAATTAATCTTAAGTAGGCATGTGTGTCAAGTTCAGTTGGCAGGGAAAATCTCTTAATCTAAGTTAAAAATATGAACATATAAGGACTCATGAATTTAAATCAGCGTCAAGACAAGATTACAAAATAAATCATCATGTGAAACTTCTGAAAAACCCATATTTATCTCAATTCTATAACAGAACACCGTTGGAATCCTTTGTAAATGTGATTTTTATTATGCCTCAGATCCTTAATTTAGAAATCTGTTATTTGAACAATTATTTTAAATACTTACACTAGATATTTTTTATTTTATTATACTTGCTTATATGTATTTTTCTCTATATATACCACATCAAATATTAAAAGAAAGGGAATACTATATGTTGTGTCCCCTGCGATAGCTCTTAGAAAGATATTTAGACAACATTTTGCTTCAATTTATATATAACTCAGAAGACTAAAGTCTATTTTTTTCTCAGACTAAGAATTTTGCTTCTGTTTGGAAATCACAAAAAGAGTAAATGAAATGGAAAAAGACTAGTAATGTATTAATGTATTTTTATCATAATTACTTTTACATAATGCTCAATTACTGCACTTTTAAGTGCGAAATAAATTAATCTAAATATATGGTAAAACATATCACTTCTAAATTCATTATCAATTTCATTCATCCCATTTCCTTTCCTTAACAAATAATTCTTTTATTACATTTACACATCAAAATACTGTTGTTATTATATCTGAAGATGTTGGTGGCCAAAAGGGTATTGAACCTAATCAATTAAGATGTGTTCGGTTCCAAGCTGAAAATAGACACACAATACGTGGAAAATCCAATAAAAGCAAAACTCTTTGCTTATGCAATTGTGAACTGGGAGAGTTTGGTTTTCTTTGTTCTGGAATATCAAGTTGAAGAAACAAGGCACTGTCCTTACTCAGGAAAAGCCGCTGTATCATTTTCATTCAGTTCAAAGATGGGAGAACTTGTCTGGTAGGTGTGTGGCAATTCCAGTGACCACAAAATGGTGTGTCCGTGTAATGTTTGAAATTCACAAGCTAGTTCAGTTTACAGCTGGTATAAAAAATTTATTATGTAAATGACAGGTCATCAAGTGTATAACATTTCTGACTTTTCCAAATAGATATGGTTTGGGGAATCAGCCTCTCTCCCAAAGTCTATTTTTGATATGGAAGACATTAATATTCGAAGCTTTTGATCAAATTTTTTTGAATAGGTCACTAATCAAAATGGTAAGCTTCAAGTTCAATTCTTGCTTCCAAAAAGACTAGTGTTGTTGGAATTTAACTTTGATATTGCTACCCAAGCAAATATCGATTAATAAATCGTATAGTGATTTATTTGTACGACTTTTAAAAAGATTAATATCGTAAACAAAAGCTGTAGTCATTATAATGTTGTACCTTTCTGTGAAAAATTATTAAAGTTGATTCAAACTTGTTAACATTGCACTGAAGAAAAAGTGTTAAAAAATTTACGTTCTACAAGTTTTTCATCTATATTGTAGGTAGTCTGGAATTATTTATTTTCATGATTATGCTTGCATCCATTTAGCTGC